TTTGTCTTGTGTGTGTGTGTTTAATGCCAGGGAAGTTAATATATAAAGATTGTGTCGATTGTTACATAACATGGCAGCTCATTCTTTTGAGACGAAAGCACTTAAAAAAAGTATTTGGAGGAAAGTACCAGTATGCAGTGATGGACCACCAGAAAGTTAGACTTTTGTATAACTAAATTTGGACAAACGGGAAACTACTTTGCTGCTAAATTAAGCACCATAGAACACATTCACAATATACAAGCTGAAAACAACATAGCATAGACCATATACACTGACGGATCACTCAATACAGCTACAGGGAGGGCAGGAAGTGCTGTTATTGCTCATCGGCCCGATGGCAGCACAATTCAAAGGAATATGCGAATTAGTAACTGGGTATCCACAATGCAAGCCGAGTTGGTAGCAATACTGGTAGCACTCGAAATTATTGACAACGCTGAAGTAGACAGCTTAATTATTTCTGACTCCCTATCCTCACTACGAGCAATAAACAGTTTGCAATGAAGTAATAACGTGCTTGTCTTGGAAGCTAGACGTAGATATATAAGAATACTTAGCAAGAGGGTAAATATAAAAATGTTGTGGATTCCTTCTCACATTGGCATGCAGGAACATGACAAAGTTGACGCCCTTGCTAAGGCTGCAGTAAATAAAGACAGTATTGAACGGAATCTTGAGTTATCAAATAGCCCTGGAAACACAAACCGTAACTGTCTCTATTTTCTGCTTGTTAAACTTGTAATAAAGTTGTTACATCTTGGCTTAACGTGTTTATGACGTATTAGAATGTTGTTTCAACTCGCTATATTGGTTGTTATAACTGGTTAGGTGGTGTTAAAACTTGTTCGAACGTTGTACCAACGTCGTAGTTTCGGTGTGTGTTTGGCGGGAGGTCCCTTAAAAGTGTCATTAGACGAGAACTCCTGGATGGATTTGAAGAAAGTAGAACAGTGCAAACTGGAACTAACAGGTCCATTGTTCATCACAATGAAATGTGTGAAGTAAAACATGTGTATGGGGCAAGTAACAAAGTCAGTAGACTAACAGATGTTGTCACAGCTCGTATAAGACTTGGCTACAAGTATCTCTGGCAGTTCGGCTTGTATAGGGATCTAGATGAAGTAAAGTGTAAAGTGTGTGGACAAAGACAGGGACACACACTCGAACACTATATCTTGGACTGTAGTAAAATTGAGCCATTTAGAGATAAATGATATAACTCACGTTGTATGATATGGCAACCTATCTTATTACCATGGATAAATTACCTGAAATCCTTGCACTGTATCCATATTTCGCTTCCAGTAGATAAACGACTTATGAGATGAAGAAAAAAGTAGTGTATTGTGAAGACTAATAATAAACAGAAGCTCCCCTATGACTATATTGGTCAAACTATTATGTATTAGCGATAAGATCTACCATTAATGTATAATGACTTACTGTAAATATATAGCTTTTGAAATAGCACTTTCTCTGTAACTAGCTGACATTGTAACTATAAGGTGTGAAGGATAGATGAAATTGTTTATGTAATAATCTAAGATGAGGTCTGATAAAGACCTTTTGTGCCCTCTGTAATGCTTTTTGCGCTACCGCTCACAGGATGGGTATGGGGTGCACAATAAACTAGCGGCCTCCGGCGGCAACAATCAAAAGAGCAGACGGTGACTACACTCTAAGAGGAAGTTAGGTAAAGGAGTCAAAGAGAGAGAAAAGGATTTGGCAGTGGATATAACTCCATCATTAACACCAGAGCCACACACAAACAGGAAAAAGCAGGCAGCATATGAGTCGATGGCAAACATCAGAACGTCGTTAATAAGCTTAAGCCATGGTTAAGGGAACCAAACCTCGCAACTCTGGTGGAGAGAAGAAATAGAGTGGACATGATTGCAACATACAAGATACTGAGTGGAATTGACAAGATGCACAAGGAAAGCCTCATTTTAAAGTGAGAGAAAGTAGGACGAGAGGACTTAAGTGGAAGCAGGATAAACAGATGTCGTAGAAATATAAGGAAGCTCTCATATCCTCGGCCGAGCGGACAGCACACTGGACTTGTGATCCTGTGGTCCTGGGTTCGATCCCAGGCGCCGGCGAGAAACAATGGGCAGAGTTTCTTTCATCCTATGCCCCTGTTATCTAGCAGTAAAATAGGTACCTGGGTGTTAGTCAGCTGTCACGGGCTGCTTCCTGGGGGTGGAGGCCTGGTCGAGGAATGTACTGGAAGAAGAAGTTGTGGAAGCCACCTCAAGCCACAACTTTAAAGCCAGATTGGACAGTGGTCGACCATCAGAATAGTTTAATAACAACCCATCAGGTACAACAGGGCTAGAAGGCGTTATAGACCTGACTGCAGCGTAAACACAGATAGGCAAGTACACATACACCTGGCTACCCCAGATCTGTTTATATAAACAAACTCTGATTGTTATTCCTGGTCACGTCATTGGTCGAGACGGAAAACAAGCCTCTCCCTGATTGGCTGGAGTAGAGTGTGTGTGGAGGCTGCTTCCTGATTGGCTGGCTAGCTAGCTTTTTTTTCTCTGTTTTATTTCTTTCCAGTCCTGTGGATGGTTACGTAAGAGCTGTTTGGCTATCCTTGCTCTTGTTAGACGGTGCTGTGCGTGATGCAGCCTCACAACACCAACAACTTGATGGAAATTTGTCTGTTTTAACATACTTGTATGTTTGTGGTGTTGTGTTGGGTTGTGGTGTTGTGTTGGGTTGTGGTGTTGTGTTGGGTTGTGGTGTTGTGTTGGGTTGTGGTGTTGTGTTGGGTTGTGGTGTTGTGTTGGGTTGTGGTGTTGTGTTGGGTTGTGGTGTTGTGTTGGGTTGTGGTGTTGTGTTGGGTTGTGGTGTTGGGTTGGGTTGTGGTGTTGGGTTGTGGTGTTGTGTTGGGTTGTGGTGTTGTGTTGGGTTGTGGTGTGTTGTGTTGGGTTGTGGTGTTGTGTTGGGTTGTGGTGTTGTGTTGGGTTGTGGTGTTGTGTTGGGTTGTGGTGTTGTGTTGTGGGGTGTGTGTGTGTGTGTTGTTGGGTTGTGGTGTTGTGTTGGGTTGTGGTGTTGTGTTGGGTTGTGGTGTTGTGTTGGGTTGTGGTGTTGTGTTGGGTTGTGGTGTTGTGTTGGGTTGTGGTGTTGTGTTGGGTTGTGGTGTGTTGTGTTGTTGGGTGTTGTGTTGGGTTGTGGTGTTGTGTTGGGTTGTGGTGTTGTGTTGGGTTGTGGTGTTGTGTTGGGTTGTGGTGTTGTGTTGGGTTGTGGTGTTGTGTTGGGTTGTGGGTGTTGTGTTGGGTTGTGGTGTTGTGTTGGGTTGTGGTGTTGTGTTGGGTTGTGGTGTTGTGTTGGGTTGTGGTGTTGTGTTGGGTTGTGGTGTTGGTGTTGTGGGGTTGTGGTGTTGTGGGTGTTGTGTTGGGTTGTGGTGTTGTGGTGTGTTGGGGTGTTGTGTTGGGTTGTGGTGTTGTGTTGGTGTTGGTTGGGGTGTGGTGTGTTGTGGTGTTGTGTTGGGTTGTGTTGTGTTGTGTGTTGGGTTGTGTTGTTGTGTTGGGTTGTGTTGTTGTGTTGGGTTGTGTTGTGTTGGTGTTGTGTTGGTGTGTGTGGTGGTGTTGGGGTTGTGTGTTGGTTGGGTTGTGGTGTTGTGTTGGGTTGTGGTGTTGTGTTGGGTGTGTGTTGTGTTGGGTTGTGGTGTTGTGTTGGGTGGTGTGGTGTTGTGTAGAGTGGTGTGGTGTGTGTGGGTTGTGGTGTTGTGTTGTGGTGTTGTGTTGGGTTGTGGTGTTGTGTTGGGTTGTGGTGTTGTGTTGTGGTGTGGTGTTGGGTTGTGGTGTTGTGTTGGGTTGTGGTGTTGTGTTGGTTGTGGTGTTGTGTTGGGTTGTGGTGTTGTGTTGGGTTGTGGTGTTGTGTTGGGTTGTGGTGTTGTGTTGGGTTGTGGTGTTGTGGTGTGTGTTGTGGTGTTGGTGTTGTGTTGGGTTGTGGTGTTGTGTTGGGTTGTGGTGTTGTGTTGTGGTTGTGTGTGTTGGGTTGTGGTGTTGTGTTGGGTTGTGGTGTTGGGGTTGTGGTGTTGTGTTGGGTTGTGGTGTTGGTTGTGGTGTGGTGTTGTGTTGGGTGTTGTTGTGGTGTTGTGGTGTGTGGTGTTGGGTGTGGTGGGTTCGCTTCCAGTGTGTGTGCGTGTGTGTGTGTATTTACTATTTGTGTCTGCAGAAGGGAGCTATTAGCTCCTGGACCCCAGCCTTTCTAACCAATCTATTTTTTTTCTCTATTAAATCTGCTATATTTCTATCTAGAGAAATATATGTAGAGAGGAAAGAGAGATAATATATGTGTGATTATTGTGATTATTGATTTGATATCGAGGATGTGATTATTGATTTGATATCGAGGATGTGATTATTGGGTGGTGCTACGGGTGCTTACACACTACTGTTATCATGTAGTTTGTGTTGCTGTGTACCTGTGTTATGTTGTGTTGCTGTGTACCTGTGTTGTGTTGTGTACCTGTGTTATGTTGTGTACCTGTGTTGCTGTGTACCTGTGTTGTGTTGTGTACCTGTGTTGTGCTGTGTACCTGTGTTGTTGTGTTGTGAGGCGTTCTCCCCGTGTTGTAGGTCACTGTGTTGTGTTATAAAATTGTTACTTTCAGTATTAATGTTGTGTGTTAGTACTGTTCAATAAATGCTGACTCTGATGCATACATACATACTCATGTATGTGGGTGAGTCCATGTACGCTGCTCCTCTAGATGAGTACTGGTACTCATGCCGGACCAGTGAGTATACTCTTGGTAAACCAAGGCGTCCTGTTTACCCCTACACAGGGCGCTTGTCGCTGGCTGCTCTGGTTAGGCCCGTTCGTGAGACCACATATCCGGGCTAGCGAGACCCGCCTGTATGTCTGGTCGAGGGGTGGAGGCTATATATATATATATATAGTCTCCATATATAGTCTATATATAGACTCTTGGGGCTAACCTTACACTATTGTTAACACCAGCTTTATTTTTTCAGATGCGTGCATTCCATGATCCTGTAGGGGAGACATGATCACTACATGCAAGATTCTGGGAGGAATTGATAAGGTAAATAGAGTTGATTTAACACAGCACACGTACTAAGGAATGACTATAAATGGAACGAGTGCCTCTAGAAACAGTGCTAAATTGGTTGTAGAAAATAGATCCTTTAATAAATTATTTGTTTCGTTATCATGAATTTCGGTAATTGGATTGTTCTTAATACTGATACTGAGAAATATGTATATTTTAAAATATAAACTGTTATGATTCTAAAAGGATTCGAACCTAAGCAGTTGGGGGTCATCCCATTAAAGTAAAGTAATCACTACACCAAAAGTGTAGTAATTGCCTTAAAAGTGTTGGAACATCTTGAGAAGCACCCAGCAAAACTCTTGGAACATCTTGAGAAGCACCCAGCAAAACTCTTGGAACATCTTGAGAAGCACCCAGCAAAACTCTTGGAACATCTTGAGAAGCACCCAGCAAAACTCTTGGAACATCTTGAGAAGCACCCAGCAAAACTCTTGACTCTTTTTTTTTTTTAGCCTCAGTTATTTCATCAATTCCCAGAACACGCTAGAGTTGCACTCAACATACACGTGTGAGCACAACTTGAATATCTGTGAAAAAACAACCCATTTTTTTTTACAAGTATTGGCACTAATGAGAACCCTTAACGATTCGAACCATGGTGGCCAGGGTTATCTCGCTGGCTATTTTTATCATCCACTATGGGCTCACCATAGCCCGTGCTACTTGGAACTTTGTTCCAGGTAGCGAATCTTTAACAACCACAACAACATGGCTATTTAGTTCTGCAACCAAATTGCCTTAAAACTGTAGGAAGATCCTGAGAGTTATGATGGTTGGGAAACCATCATTAACACATTACGGGCAAAGTATATGATATAGTATTTTTTTATTTTGCAAACATTAGTACATAATTTACAATTTAATAAGAAAAAATAGTAATAATTCAGAGTCGTGTTATTATAATATTGTAAGATTCGTCGTGGGGGTCACTTTAGAACCATAACAGGTGGCACTCGTTTCATTTATGCCAACAATGATCATCCCATTGCTGGCACATGTCCATCAGCATTTTACTATTAGAAATTACACGAGGAAGGCTCCAAACATCTGACCGCCTCCCTTGGTAAGAGACAGACATTTGAATATATAGACATTGATAGATATAGATATGTGTTACAATACAAATGTAAATATGAAAACTGGTTTCACCCCCCCCCTCGTCCCCTCACCCCTCATCCCCCACCTCGTCCCCTCACCCCTCATCCCCCACCTCGTCCCCTCACCCCTCATCCCCCACCTCCTCGTCCCCCTTCTGCCAGTCCTCACCCTTCATCAAGTGAGGTCCAGGCGTGTGTGAGGGCCGTCGAGGAAATTACATACTGAGTGACAATGAGGCGTGCCTCTTCAGGGGCACTGAGACAACTGGGGGGAGGGGGTGTGTGGGGGGGGAGGAGGGGTGTGTGTGGGGGAGGAGGGGTGTGTGGGGGGGGGGTTGTGTGGGGGGGAGACGGGAACAGACTGGTCCGGGGATATGGGGGAGGAAGAGATGCCGGGAAGGAGGAGATGGGGTCAAGGTTTGGGAGATTTAGGGAGTTAGTAGGGCAGAGGAAGAAGTGGATAGTAGGAAGACACAAGAAAAAGGAGGAGAATGAACGGGGGGGGGGGAGAAAAGTGGCTAGAAAAGACAGAACAAAGCCGATTGCAAAGAGGAGGAAGACAGACAGGAGCAGACAGGAAGGAGGAGATAAGACATAAAAGAAGGAGAGAGGTGCGACATCTAAGGAATACAGTAAGAGGAACGGAAGAGAGAGAGAGAGAGAGAGGAGACGAGAGTTAGGGAGAGGAGCAGGAAGTGAGGTTGGGGTTGGGTGGGGAAGAAGTGACCTTAAATAGCCATAGATCACTACGAAACCCTTTGATCAAGTTGATGGTGCTGGCCTTCGCGAAGACACGACACAAGAGCCTTCTCAACGCGAAGACACGACGCAAGAGCCTTCTCAACGCGAAGACACGACACAAGAGCCTTCTCAACGCGAAGACACGACACAAGAGCCTTCTCAACGCGAAGACACGACACAAGAGCCTTCTCAACGCGAAGACTCGACACAAGAGCCTTCTCAACGCGAAGACTCGACACAAGAGCCTTCTCAACGCGAAGACTCGACGCAAGAGCCTTCTCAACGCGAAGACTCGACACAAGAGCCTTCTCAACGCGAAGACTCGACGCAAGAGCCTTCTCAACGCGAAGACTCGACACAAGAGCCTTCTCAACGCGAAGACACGACACAAGAGCCTTCTCAACGCGAAGACTCGACGCAAGAGCCTCCTCAACGCGAAGACTCGACGCAAGAGTTTCGTGAACGCGACGGCTCATAGTAAGACCTTCCTTTTAAAGGAGATCACACTGAAAAAAAAATCTTCCTTAGTACAGTAAATGGAATTGTATATATCAGGTCTGACCCGCACCTGGGGACAGGCTCAACAGGTAGGGTTTTTTTTTTTTTTACCTTCTTGATTTTGAGTTTCTACTTTCTCCACCAGCCAAGTCTCCTTTCACTCTATGCTTCTCTCTCTCTCTCTCTCTCTCTCTCTCTCTCTCTCTCTCTCTCTCTCTCTCTCTCTCTCTCTCTCTCTCTCTCTCTCTCTCTCTCTCTCTCTCTCTCTCTCTCTCTCTCTCGATACTTGAGCTAGTAGAGCGTGGGACTGGAGGTCGACCTTAGCATGGAAGGCCTTTGTGGGGGACGCCAGTGAAAACATGAGGCGACGGGGGAGGACACGTGAGGGGGTGGGGAGAAGGACACATGGGGGGGCCAGGATACATGGTGGGGGCTAGGACACATGGGGGGGGCAGGACACATGGTGGGGCTAGGACACATGGTGGGGGCTAGGACACATGGGGGGGCTAGGACACATGGGGGGGGGCAGGACACATGGTGGAGGCCAGGACACATGGGGGGGCCAGGATACATGGTGGGGGCCAGGACACATGGGGGGCCAGGACACATGGGGGGGCCAGGACACATGGGGGGGGCAGGACACATGGGGGGGGGCCAGGACACATGGTGGAGGCTAGGACACATGGTGGGGGCTAGGACACATGGTGGGGGCTAGGACACATGGTGGGGGCTAGGACACATGGGAGGAAACACAAGCTGTAGGGGAGGTGGCAGGAATCCATACAACACACACAAATCAAGAGGCATGAGGTGCATAGTGTGATCAAGCGCTGATTACATCGGGGTTACCCAAGGCTGAGAGACGGGGCCCAGGAGCTGAAGATCAACCTATGCGGTACAAACGACACTGAAACAGTCTGTAGTCAAGTCGGTGACTTAAGGAGCATTTTACAGGTCGTTGATGTTCCTTTGATGTAGTTAATTGATGCATGGTTAAATATGGGAGCATTCATGGCCTATTTATAATTAGCTAAGTGGGTATAACCGGCGGTGCCCGGGTAATATATATCTCTCTCTCTCTGTCTGTCTGTCTGTCCCTCCCCAACGTTCACTTCAAGCAACATTGCAACTGGTGTTCACGGTGCCTTAAACCACTCGACCATCAGTGACCGTTCAAAAGGCGCTGATAGCCGAGGCTATTTGATCCACCACCCAGACGGCACTTTGAAGGTAAACTGGGGCATAGCTATTTCATCAAATCACCTCATTTTGTGGGGCCACGTGAGCAATACAAATGCGCACCACCACATTGGTACAGTGGTCACGGTACTGTGTACGTTTAGGGGTGATCCTGGACGGCATGGGTTCGAATCCTAGCCGGGTCAATAATTCTTAGTGATCTATGGCTAGAGTGTTCCTGCAGCTCTCTCATTTTATATATATATATATATATATATATATATATATATATATATATATATATATATATATATATATATAATAATAATAATAATAATAATAATAATAATAATGTTGTATGGTGAATGTCATAGGGTGGTGATCTGCATCGACTCCCATATCCCTCTCTTGAAATAGGATTGGCTCTTATTGCGACAACCACCGACTCCTAAGTGAATTGGGGGTTTGATTTTCCATAGAGTGTTTACTCAGATTTTCAAAACTGCACGAATGCAGATGTACCTAATATGTTAAAAAAAAAAAAAAAAAAAAATGTGCGACACAGTGGTTGCCAAGGATCAGGTTGGGTTACCGTTACCTGTGACAGGTGGCTACAGGTGACGGATCTCACAATCCTGAGCACTCCAGGTGCAAACTCTGTGAGCAGGAACTACGGCATGATCTCCCGCACTACATCACTGAATGCCCAGTTATTAGACCATTCAGACCCGTTGGCATGAGGTACCTGGAGCTTTGCAATTACTTTATTCACTCTTGTGTACATGATGATATCCTCATACTGCTCCCAGAGTCTGCCAGTGCAGACTACGGATCACATGCCTCTGTATGACTAACCATCCTGTGTGATGTGGATTTTTATCATCACGTAGCTAGCCAAGTTTTCCTGAATTTATATATTTTTCAATTTGTTTTTCTTATGAAATGATAAAGCTGTCCATTTCATTTTGCATGGGGTAATTTTTTTAAATTTGAGTTAAAACTAACGTAGATATATGACCGAACCTAACCTAACCTAACCTACCTAACCTATCTTAACCTAACGTAAACTAACACAACTAAGTCAATTATTTATGTTCTTAATATAATATAATGGCACTAATTCAAATAAACTAATTGGAAACAATTTCTTGAAGATAAAGAAAATCACTCGGCCTATTAGGCACTTCGGGCCTTGCATAGTAGGCCGAGAAGTGCGTTCTGGCTACTAGGTACGACATATATATATATATATATATATATATATATATATATATATATATATATATATATATAATATATATACACACACTCGGGACGTCCGTCACCATCATTTCCCCTTCACCATTCACTACCGTCGTGACTGGCTACCGGATCCTCTTATTCATCACCTTCATCTTAAACTTTAACCTCACTATCACTAGATCACCTTCAACACTATCACTAGCATCATCCCTC